AAAAAAAAACCCCAAACATTTTTTTTTGTAGTTTTCTGGACAGGAATATGATTTTTTAAAATGTTTTTTGACACTTCTTAATGTCAAAATTGTGCTTTTTCTGTGTATTATTTAGACCTATTGGTAATTTTGTTTTACAATTTTTGACTGGTCAGCTTGACCGAACTTTACTACCACCCCTGTGGCATATGGCAGCTGGGCTGGCCAAGCGTGAACAGGAAGTGCAATAAGTAGTACAGCATTACCATAACGTCGCAGTGTTAAAACAGCACCTTAAATAGCTCCTGAGCCTCTCCCTCTGCTTGGTGCTTTAGTAGCAGCCAGAGCCGGGGCTGCTGCTCTTGCTTGCGTTTCATAAATGCGTCCTTGCACTCTCCTGCGGGCTCTTCGTAGGACTTTATCTGCACAAGACGCGTCAGCACCACAGCAGACCGCACGGGAACGTTCGGGAAGTAGCAGACCTGGAGTGTCAGACAGCACTATATGTTTTAAGCACTTTTCCCTTCCTAATCATACATATTTGAAGATGCTGCTAATGAGTTTCCTCCCCATTAGTCTGTACCGCCAGCTCTGCTTCTGCCACCCTTCATGATGATTTATGGAGCAGCCGCAGGAGCCCAGGCCTCACCTTCCCTCCTCCTCTGCCCTCCGAGGAAACATGGAGGAGCGCAGGGGCAGACAACACGGTGGACGTGGATTGACCACTTCACAATAGCCCGTCCGTGAAACAGACCCCTTCTGGGGGGTCCTGCTTTACCACCTCAAGCTCTGAGCTCAGATAAAGTCCTAGTTACCTAGATTGGCTCCCCCCAATCGATACCTTTCACCTTCACTTATCCAGCAAAGACCATGCAGAGAATAAGTCGTTTCCCTTTCCAGCACCGTTACAACAGAGTGATGAGGGTCTGCTTTGTAAGCAACACATCCTTTTCAAGCCCAATAGCTGGCTGCTGACTCACTTGCAAAAGCTGCCTGAGTTTCAGCGAAAGGAATGCAAGAAGCCGAGACCACTCATCTATTTATATCAGGGCCACCACAATCCTTCAGGGACAGCTAGCTGCTCCCACTCTCCTTTACATACTGAGCTTACCCTTGCACAGTCCACACGGCCCTCTCCATCTTGCTCAGCGAAGCACGTGGATGGAGGGAGCTCTGCACCACTGAGCACGGCTTTGCTTACCCACTGCAAGGAGGGGGCTGCAGATCAGTCCAGAAACAGCCAAGCCTGCTGCTGCAGGAGCCCCACTCCTGTCTCTCATTATGACCCTCCCCTGCCGCTGGCCTGAGCCAAACCTGCCGAGCTGGCGGGAAGAGCTCTAGCGATAAGGAACTTTACAACAGGGGGCTGTCCATTTCCTGCTCCTCTGGGTCTTACGCTATGCACTACCGCGCGTGGGTTGAACTTCTCTCTGCTGAGGAACAAGACGAGCAGCAGCACAAGTCACGATGGAAACGTTGCTTCCTGAAGAGTGACACTTCTGCAGCGAAATGAAGAGAGGTGTGGGCAAGAGCCACCGACTCTTCTCAAAACCAGCCTTTGGTTTTTCTCTGCTGTCAGTGAAACCACGTGCTCAGACCAGCCACAGCACACTGCAGCTTTATTCGCTAAGAAAGGTGTGTGTGTGTGTGTGGGCGGGGGGGGGGAAGGCTGATTTTGTTTTTCATGGAGCTTAACATAGAGCACTCTTGCCCACAACCAGAGCACCCAGACCCTAGATGAAAAAAAAATCCCACTCGGAGAGAAAAATTTGACCAGTCTGTCCCCCAGCAGTGCAGGAAATCAGAGGGCTTTATCCACCTGTGTGCACAGCGTTTGGGGCAAGGCAGAGGGGTGGAAGAAACGCTGCCCAGCCCTGGGTAGCACACCCAAGCTTCTGAGTTGAGAAGCTCTGCTGACGAGACTCCTTCACAGGCAGAGGCAAGGCTCCAGCAGCACTTGCATTGCACTGCCGTGGCAGAGGCTATGGGCACCAGCCCTGCAGCATCAAGGACAGCAACTGGCAGGTTGTGTCTACAGGTGGATCTCTCCAAGTCTGTCACTGCTGCGATATCCAGTCCAATGCTGTTAAAGGATCTCTGCTGAATCTGATCAGACACCCGTGGCGAAGTCTATGGAACAAAGCGCTGGGAAGGAATAACACCATAAGGTTCCTTATCAAAAAGGAAGATCTGTGCAAGTTACACATAGGTTACAAACTTTTGCCTCGTGTAATGGGTCACAACTGCTTTAGATCCCTCTGAGAACGTAGTGTCATGCCACATCAGGGATGGAGAAGAGGAACATGTAATACTATTGGGGTAAAAAATAAACAGGAGGACACAGCTTGAGTGATTTTTTTCAGGGTCGGTCAGTGGAAAACTGGGAGTTGACTCCATGACAACACCAGTCCATGACAGTACTACTCAGCCAAAATATTCTTCCTCTCAAGGCAGACAGAAAGCCTCTTTGAGTGGACACTCTTCCATAACCCCTAGAGTCCACCTCACTCCACTCTCTTGATGAGGGTATAAAGAAAGTTACTTTCCCTAGGCCACAGCAAGTCAGACAGACAACAGATGCATTTCCAGCTCCGCTATATAGTTAGTACACTTCAAACTACTTTTTTACCATCAGAAGCAGAACCAGGGCTGTACTCAAACCAGCGTGTTGTAAAACAGCCCGCTGTGACACAAAACAGTGACCCACGTTGGTAATACAGATATCTATTTTATTTAAAAAGTTACAAACAGGTGGACTGTAGGGTTGTCTTACAAAATGACAAGAATGAAATCTATTGGAAAAAACTTTTTACAAAGCATTATAGGTAATTGTTCAATTTTTGCACTTGTTATTCCAGATTTCACCTATCACTGATAGAGATACAGTACATTAGATACAGGATGTTCGGTTACATGTTGTTTGTAGAGCCCTACTGCAGTGATTTGAACAACTCCTAAAACAGATGCCATAGTAAAGACAATACATATATTGCTTTTATTATTAGCCTCGTATTCTAATAAGCAACTTCACATGCAATCTATTGAGGAAACCTAACATAACTTTTGGTCCTTTTATTCAAAGTGTGCTGAAGAAACCATCTTTATCTCATTTTCCCCATTCCTGGCTTTCTAAGCTAGTTCAAGTTTCTTTTTTTTTCTTTTTTCTTTTTTTTTTTATTATTTTTTCATTTTTGCTGAGGTCAATGAAAATGAACACTTTTCTTTGTTAAAACTACCCATAGGAATGAACCACCAATTAATATCAACCCAACCGTCTCCCCCCCTCAGACAAAAGGAAAACTAAGATCTTCATTACTTGTATTTCCTAGTACTTCTTACATCTACTAAAAGAACAACCATCACCACTTAAATCTACTCTGAATACAGGGTTTGGTTTAATTCTGGTATTAAAGTGCAAACCTAAATAAGTATTGGCCTCAGCCTGTTTTATGAAGTTTGTACAAACAGGGAAAAAATATTTCAAGTAACCCCACAGTAAATCAGATGTTTTGATATCTAAGATAACATCTCGAGTTTTCCGGATTCAAATTCAACACTATGAAGATAATCAAAATCTTGATTGCTGCTAAATACTGCAAGTCTCAGGAATCTCCATTATATTATTCAATAAACCATATGAATCCCAAGATACTAAACTGGTAATCTCATTCGTAGTTGCGTTGGAATGCCATCCTCCACAATACATCGAGTTTAAAAATGCTTAACCTCAGAAATCGATCACTGCTTTTACTGGAGCTTTTCTGGTCAAAGTTACCCAGCTGGTACAGGGAAAAAATGTACAGCAATTAGAAGCATGTTCAAATGACTAAAGGTGGGCTCCTAAAAACCTAGAACTTTGGTGCAGTAGGTGAGCTGCAGGTATTCAACGTCTGCAAAAAAAGTACACATTTTAAACCATTGCTAGTAAAAGCTCTCACGTACGCAACGTCCGTATTAATAAAACTCAACGAAAAGGTTCGGTCTGTTCTTTATACATTTTCATTCTGCTTTTTATACCTGTGTTACTGTTAACATTTTCAAGTATTCAGACAAAATATGTTGATCAGGTAAACAATATGGAAGGCAATGGCTGTTTAAAGCACACCTGCAGTTAGTATCACTGAAACCTGGTGCTCTTCTCCCCTTGCTATACTGACTTGTCTCCAATGTTAACTTGTTTACTGGGAACAACTAAAAAAAAAAGCCATGTGACAGTGCAAGAAAAAGTTTAACCAATATTGCTTTAAAATAGTATTCAGAAAGACAAATATTTGGAACTATAAAATGTAAAGTGATTTTATTTGCATTAGATTTACATGTGCAGAGGTCCACTGGATGTCACTGAACGTGCCAGGCAAAAGCAGAGCTAACCCTGGTCGGGCATACAGCCCATCCTGGAGGATACGGATACACTATCCCTTTTCAAAGGCGCGCTGAAGCAGGTCACATGAACTAGCATGTTTAGAAACTTTGCTGTAGGGAAAACTTCACTGCTGCATTTCAACACGATAATTGCCATGAATCAAAGTAATTTGGAAACCCAGGACTGCAAAGAACACATAGTTTGGACTTTACAGCCTGTTCCAAATAATCAAAGAGTCACATCAGGCCAATTGCAGATGCACTACACACAGGCTGCATTTGCTGAGAAAAGGGATATTACATCCATACAACATCAGAGGTGCCTTCAGTATCTTCCCATGACACTGTCACGCGTAAACATAAAAGTTTCAAAGTATGACCAACTACATTGTAGGAGAAAACTTTGCAAACAGAATTAAGCACTGATGCGAGGTAATATACAGAAGTAACCATTTGCTTAAGGCTCAATTTTTGCTCCATTAAAACTTTCTTTTAAAAAGGCATTGAGTAGGTAATACTGAGTTTAAGTATTTAATAAATACAAGTTCAGAAATTGATTAAAGAAATCAATTAAACTATTAAAAATGAATTCTTGCATATTAGCCGTTACATGAACTCAGAAAGCTATAAAAGGATCGATAGGTAAAGAACAGATTTTAACATATGGTAAACATGCTAAGCTTTCCTGTTTAAGGTCCATGGATCTTGAAGGCCACGGACCTTACGCACTTAGATGTATGGCAACGTGCTGTAATAGAGACAGGTTTACCAAGGCTCAGCTCTGCAACCTGGGCTGAAAGAGTTCTCCAAAGCAGCATCTGTGCAAGTTTCCTCTGAGTTTTATCTGCAATTTAACAACACACACAGTTAATGAAAAGCCATGTTCACATCTCTGGATGTTCAAAATGAAGTCGGCTTTTCCAGGATGCATAAGAGCTGATTGTCATGCTGGAAAAACTGGCAAGGGACCACCTTTTGCAGAAGTTTTCATTAAAAGCTTGTTCCTGTTTTTCACTTGGTCCCTAATATTGTCAGAACCACTTTGCTCCTCTACTGGGGTTGCCCCGCACTGTGAAATCTGCATCTCTGTGGCACGGAGCTCCATGGGGCGAGAGCTAAGTGCAGGGATAGTTAAATAATTATGCCAATGCAAAAGCAACAACAATCAGTTCTGTAATACACACCACCCAACTGCAGCATCTGTGCATCCTTGAGGAATTGCTTCAGACGGGGAAAGTTATTAAAAAGCATCTGAAAAGTTACGGTCTTTAAAAAGCTCCGTCAAGGCTGTTTGGAAGCATGCCAGAAGCCACGTTACTTTAAGGGAAGTTTTTGGGGAATTCTGAAAGCGGGGAAAAGGCTTCCTGTTTTGGCCAGCTTGACTCGGCAGGGTATCACAGCATTTCAAGTTACCCTTTGCTTTCGTTCTTTGCCAGCCACCAGCTGAAAGCATAAAAGACCAAGTAGTGCACTGACTAAGCATTTACCAGTTTGAGCGACTGACGTCCCCAGCAGAGCTTTTCTGTACTAGATCAGGGCACAAGGAATAACGCCACCAGTGTTTCAGACGTAGGCACCGACTGTGAAAACTCATGGGCCTGTCAAGCGCAGGTCTCCGTGCTGCTGCAAGTCTAATGCTTGCTGCCCTCCTTGTAAGCAAGGAGTCCAACACGTGGTCTGAGCTGGACTCGTACAAAACAATGTGGCACTGCCATGCTTAAAGGGCATCCTAATATTGGTGGACTTGGTTACCACAGTGGGAAGTGATTAGGAAGCCTTCCTAGTGCAGACAGGGCTTCAGAGCGAATAGGTGGCCCCTAGGTATTACTGGAATTATAACTTAGATGGGCATATCATGGGCAAATAAAAACACATCTTTCTTAGCCAATTCACTGCTAAGACTGGTAAGCGAACCTGATAGCTCTGCAAGGTGTCATAAGGCAGATCATATATTTTGGAAGTTTTCAAGAGCAGCTGGGACAGACACTTGGCTGGGGTGGTTTAGCCAGGGATGATCCTGCCTTGAGCAGGGGGCTCCTTTTGGCCCTACTGTCCTACAATCAAGTTCAGATTTTAGGGGGGAGTCCTCCCTGGCAGAGATCCATTAGCATAGCTCCTACGAGGGTCCAGTTACTCCTGCATGAGGAGGTGCAGGAGTGACCGGGTGTTAGCACAGAGATGGCTCGTCAGGAGAGGGTGCAGGATCTCAGGCAGTGGAATTATTTGTCATATCTTTTCAGGGAAGTTTTAAGCCAGAGATGAAGCACGATCAGATGGAGGACCCAAAAGGGGAAGTGCTAGAACAAGTCTGTAAAGTAAGTGGTGATGCAATGCATCTGAAGGAGTTCACGAACCAGGCGGTCACTACTAGTAAAAGCCTGCTAGCATCAGTGCCTGCTCCCAACATTAGGGAAGGGAGCTGCAGCACCTCTACTTTGAAATTCATGGGAGATGGGTGTGGAGCCCTGGAAGTACCACAAGAATTGGTCACAGCAGGAATTCAAGGAAGCGTTTCTGTACGCACTGGCTCAGAGAGGGACAAGAGAGCAAGGCTTCTTTCTATAATGGACTAGGACAGCTCTGGGATCTATTAAAATTCTTTATGTACTTCTTTGTTGATGCAAACAGTAGACTAGACTCCCTTGCAAGAGCGTACCAGAAACCCAAAAAGTCAACGCACGGAGCCAAATTGTTATGAAAGACTAGCAGAGACAGAAACTGAAGGCCAGGGATACAAGGTCGATTCTGTTCATGGCAGAAGGCTGCCATCCAGCAAGATAGCCACAGAATCAGCACTAGGAAGCGAGACAGGAAAAGTAGTTTCAAAATTTGCGAGTGGCAGTTAAATCAAGACTGAAGTGGCCTGTAAAAGTGGTAAGGATACTAGCAAACCTGGGTCCAGGGTGACGCGCTCGCCATGAGAGCGTGAACAGAATCACAGTGCAAGGCAGTACACACTGGAAGGAATGGGAACTCTTGCACACATCATTTCAGTGCAAAATTGACTGGTTGTCCAGGAGACCTAGTTGTTACTGGGGAGCTCAGCAGACAGGAGACGGCCATCAGCAAAAGCAGGCAAAGGGCTAGGACAAGGCAGTGGCTCCTAAACTACAACCTAGGCCCCTTGCAGGTTTTCTGCCCCACTAGCTCAGCTCTCCCTGGAAGAATGAAGCCATTAAGAGTGAACGGCTTTACTACAGCTTGCTTTTACCCTGGCCAAGTGCCAAGAACAACTATCGCAGCAAGATTAGAAGCATGCTGTCTCCCTCTGCCAGGATACATTAGAGGAAAGTCTGGTAGCCAGGCTAGGTTAAAAAACCCCAGGAGGTTCTGGACCACAGAGCCAAGTAGCAGGAAACAGGAGCATGGGTCTAGAAAGAGCCAGTGCAAAGAGATGGCACAGGAGGGGAAGAAGGCACTGCAATACCTCGGTGGTGCAGAGGGTTGTCCGGAGAAGATAAAGGGGCAGTAAAGGGCAATGGATTTGCATTGGAGCAGGCAGAGGAATTGACTGCATGGAGCAATGACGCTCCATCGTGCAAGATGTTACTACAGCTGCTGAAGGGAAGGCAGTGGCACAACTGCAAACCACAGCTGGATTCAGAAGTGAGCCACACTGGGGAAACAGCTGGCACCTCCTGAGACAGAAAACCCTGAGAGAAGGGGAATGGAAGTGCTTGGAAGAAACGAAATGGCAACTGGCTGCTTTGTGGCACAGACGACTGGGCACGGGAAGCCAAGACCTCACTCAGACTCCAAAGGGGACAGGGCAGGGTTACCTCTGCATCCATCGGCTCCCTGTCTTCTCCCCTTCTCCCTTAAGAAAAATGTCCCCTCTATTTCTAAGGAGATCAGCCAGCAGTTGATGAGATTAAGAAGGAACTCCCCTGTGAACGGGTTATTCTACAAGAGCTCTCTAGGCTGTGACCTGTCCCCTGAAGCACCTGGTTTGGCTGCAGTTGAACACAGCCTGCTAGTATCAGCATTAATCTGCCATAGCAAGTCAGAACTGGACTTCCCATAGTCTTCAGCACGGGCGGCAGAGCCGATTATGTCACCCGGGCCAGAACTCCCAAGTTCCAGGCAACAACCCCCTGTGGGCTATGGTGTCAAAACCAGCCAAATGGTGAATTTTTTCTTTTATCATAAACGGCTCTCGCAAAGCGAGACTCACCCAGTTGCAGGTTGAGTCAAAGCAGAGCTCTGCGATCCTGTTCACCTCAGCAGTGCTCAGCTGAACCTATTCAGGGGTTAGGATACTATACTGAGACTTGGGTTTCACTCTTTGCCATGCTACAGACTCCCTGTGCATCCCAGCAAGTCTGTCTCTGCTCCGCATCACCAAGATGGGGACAGTAACATCTCCCTACTTCACGCAGGTATTGTAAGGAAACAGATGTGCTGCAGATCACAGGATGGGCAGTAGCAAGGGCCACATAAGGTCATTATCAGTAAATATCAGTATAGAGTATAGTTTGGGAGAACCACCCGTCACTACTCTATCTGGAGAGCAGTAGACCACCAGGCAGTTTTAATACTACCCCTCTGTCACTCTCCCAGGAGAGTCAGCTACTGTGGTCTCCCCCCATTTCATACAAGGCTGCCAAGCAGGAGCACAGTGCTTCAACTGCTTCCCTTAGAAAAAGCAGCAGGAACTGCAGGTGAACAAGGGCAAGTCAGGGCACTGCAAGAGAACTCTACGCTGGTGAAGGGTGGACTGGTAGCTGGAAGGGGTTAAATCAGATAATGCAGAAAGCAGAAGAAAGGCAGAGGCCCTGCTGATAACACAAGCACTCCTGCTACCACACCCACCCCCAGTCCTGGGGAAGGGAGGAGGCAAGCAACTCTGAACAAGGGCAGGCTCTGCCTTCGCTCCAAAGGCAAAGACCAACAAATTGAAATGCTCTTTTGGGAACTAGAAAGAGCCTAGAAGCAGAATGAGGACCACACAATCACAGCAACAACAAATGGAGTGAGAAGCCCTGACTGCTGAAACACAGCCACTTTGGCAGCTAAAGGCAGACTGCCAGCATGCTATTAGCAAGAGAAGTTCTGAATAAGGACAAGCCCCCCCACCCCCCAGAGAATCCCATCACTCCAGCAGGATGAAAGAGATTTCAACACAAAGTCTCAATTTTAAAATGCTGCCATTATTGTAGAATAAAAGCTTCAAATTATCCCTGAGCATTTAATTGCAATGTTTTTTTACTGTGAAAATGATAAACTGATATAACCACCTCTCTTGAGAGATGCATTAGAGAAAGAAATCACTTTATTCAGTTAGAAGTGACATTTGCAAGAAGCGAGATCAGGTTGAAAGTGACACTGACCAAACCAGCCTGTGATCAAGTCTCTTCTAAGGCTGAGGGTACGCACTACATCACATCAAAAACATCCTTCTGATCCCAAAACGACCAGAAGCCAGCTACTTGCATGGGACATCAGTGGAAGTGGAGAACTGTGCTCACGGGTGAAATGCTAAGCGGAGCTCATGTAAGACAAGCACATGCTTATGGTTTGAAACCTGTGGCATGTGGGAAACACCTCCCTGGGGTGGAAACCAACTCAGTCAAGCAGATGAACACTGTAAAGCTATGATTCAGATAGTGCATTCCCTTTGTATGCTGAATGCCCTATTATAAGACTCACCATACAATCAGTTCTAAATAGTTTGAGCACCCTGGAGCTCATGAATACTACAGCAGCACCACAATAGGTTCCTGGGATGAGCATGTGTCAAACGCAGAGGTCAGACTACTCCTGTGGTAGCCAGTGCAGATGAACAAACACATCCTGTTACAATCACAGTGTCTTATCTCTTACAAGCTTATTTCATGTGGAAGGTAAGTCTATTGAAGCAATACAGGAAGTCCTTTTTTTTTTTTTTTTTTTTTTTTTTTTTTTTTTTTTTTTTTTTTTTTTTTTTTTTTTTTTTTTTTTTTTTTTTTTTTTTTTTTTTTTTTTTTTTTTAATACTGAAGGACTTCCATGCACGTAAACTTACTCCTAGTCAAGGATGTCAGAAATTTCAAGATGATTAGCTGCACTATTTAAAAGGGAACAGTTACCCACCCCAATTAATGAGGAGCATTCAACCAACCTGCTCTGTATGGCCATGATTGAGGTTTTTCTTTATTTTTCTCACTGGACGATGCAAGTTGTACAACACTGATCTTGTTTCTCAGGCAGCGACGCATAGTTCATTTGCCTGACGATTTCAGCAAACAGTTCGTCCACCATGGTTTTACTCTTGGCTGATGTCTCCATGAACGGACAGCCCCATTCCTGAGCCAAAGCTCTGCCTTCTGCAGACAAGACCTCCCTCTCCGACTCCAGATCCACTTTATTCCCCACTAGGATGAGAGGAACTTTTTCATATCTCTTCACTCGGACAATCTGGTCCCTCATTGGCTTGATGTCCTGATTAAACAATCCAACTGGTTAATAAACTTTTAGTAAGCACGCTAAATCACTGTCAGCTTTAGCACTACAACAAATACATGTTTCCATAAGCTTGTACTTTTAACCAAAGATAAATATGCTACATTTCACAGAGGTCTGGAACAAATACCTTGGACTTACACTACCACATGTCTAGCATTTGTACAGAGGAAGTTCATCCTCCCCCTTTCAAAATGTCGACTCTAAACAGCAGAGAACGAACCTTCCTGTATGTTTAGAAAGTGCCCAACTGCAAAACAGAATTGCTTCTCACTTCTCAGAAAGTTTCTCAGTTGGGGGAGGAAGATGTGTTATAATAAATCCTCAGAGGTTTGGAGAAGTGAATCAGTTGTTTGGCCCAAGTTTGCCTCAGACCTTTTGACAACAGCCACACACTATACATCTATTATCGAATCACTTAGGCAGACAGGGAGCTTATGTTCAAGTTCCTGCTGCAAAAGTCTGCAGTTTTTAAGACAGTTTAGCTTTATCCTGTTTCCCATAGTTGTGCCATGCTGTGAATTGCTTGTTGTGAAAATACACAAACTGTTGTGCATCAGTAATCAATACACAGACACAAAATAAGACTTTGCTTTTGATCCTTTGCAAAATGCAATAATTTTCTAACTCTCCCACAAGTAAAGAATCACATGTTTATGTGCCATGTCCTCAGGAGAGTGAATGCACTTCCTCCTGCCTGGAATTTAATACCGTAAGGGCTACTGTTTTGGGGGGTTTTGTTGGGGGGATGGTGCAGGGGAGTGTTTTGCACAGTTCCAGGATACAGAAGCAATTAAGCATTTGAAACTGCCTCTTTTCAGTACAAGTGTATAGGAAGGCCTACACCTACACTGTTTTGATTACACATAGCCAAGAAAAAAATGCAATTGAAGTGGAAGAACAATTTTTTTTGCAGGTCGTGACGAGAACAATAGTTTAAAACTACATACCTTAAAATTCTTGGGTGAGAGAAAAAGCTCCCAATTTCTAGGGAGATGAGAACTTACCATTGGCAAGAGAGAAACCTCCCAAAAGGCCTGCTGTCCCTTTTCAAGAATTAGGACTCAAGTACAATTTATCAAGGCCCTTTTCTAAGATAATGCTCAACCTTCAGCAGAAACATTCTGCCTCCGTGGGGGTGTGAAAGGTTTTGCCAACCAGCTGCAGTATGCCCAGCTCAGCAATTTAATTGGAGCCAACATGAGAGCTCCAAATCCCTGCGCTGCACTACATGCTGCCAAGTCCAGCGATTTCCCACAGAAACAGACTGCTTATTCCTAGAGGCAGTTTAGGCCAGTTACAGGTCGTGGGATTTCTGGCTCCGTATCAGGTTCTGCAGTGCAAGTTTGTGGATCTGTATTTCATTTTTGCACATGACCCATTTTTCTTGTGAGCACGCCACCCACACCATGCGGGCACTGAGCTTGCGCTCCGTGGCAGCTTGCTATGAGAAAGAGGGGAATGGAGGGCACCAGACTCATTTGCACAATTGACATGTAAGCCAGTAACTTCAGGCTCAGGAAATGAACTGAAAAATCTATCTAACGATTAAGAGGCACCGCCCCCCCAAAACAAAAAACAAAACAAAACCCACACCCTGGCAAACAGAAAGGGAAATGCCTTCAGGCAGTTCAGCCTCGTGAAATCTAGCCCCGAATCTGGGGGTTCACCCTCATTCACAGAAAGCCTGAAAAAGCAAATCTTTAGTTATTAAGCAAAGCCTAATGGGAAGAGCTGAGGATTCCCCTGAAGCAGTTGCAACCTAGTGATTGCAACACCCTGTTAAGCACCTGTAGCACATGCACCTTTCCGCCTCTGTGCTGACAGGCTTGTACCCAGCCGTGGGAAACCAGGGGGCCCTTCATGTTTTCCTTCCCTCTCTGGAGACGCTTCAACGGCAACAGCATTAGTATCCCGGCTGGGGGGGGCCGCAGGACACTGCAGTGTCTAGCACGTCACCCCCAGGCCTCCTCTCTAAGCATCGCCCTAAACATTTAAGCTGCAGCATTCAGCAGCATGCCCTCGTGTGTGTTTGGGGCACTGCCAAACCACTGGCTTTCAACCTTTTTCTACTCAAGGAAAAAAATACCAGCTCCTAGTTTTCACTTGTTTTTTTAGCTACTTATGTTCAGTTCCAGCCTTAAATCGGTACTGGAGGGGCAGGTCGTGACATTTGAGGCTGCTCAGAGCTAGACTGCTGCTCTGGCAGTGGTGGAGGCAGATAGCATCGCCAGGCTGATAAAGGGACTGGATAAATTCCTGGACGATAGATCCATTCGTGGCTATTGAACAGAACCACTGGAGATGGCAACACTAACCCACTACCTGGTGGAGGCCAGGGAGGGTAACTGAACAGGAGCCAGATCACTCTTCAACCGTGTAAGACAGCTCTGGGCCTCTAGTGTATTGGGAAAGCTCCTAGTTACTTTTTAACTGGAAACTGTTTTATGGGGGATGATGCATCTCACCACCTTCCCCCCCCACTTTGCAAGATCCTAGATATGCCCACGCAGACACCACCCAGTGAAACTGCCTGGAGATGCTACTGCCCGTCCGAGATAAGCTATCGGGCTCGCTCCTCCAGGACAATAATCAAGCGATTCCTCCAGGCCTATACAAAGCAGCGTCGAAACATGGGCATGGTGCCTACACAGGGAACGGCTCACCCTTGCAGCAAGGGCTGGGGCGTTACCGGGCAGCTCTGACACAGGGACATGACCGGTGGGGGAGGGGGGTTACCTGGAAGCTCTGCTGGTTGACGAGGCTGTAGACGAGGATGAAGCCCTGCCCGTTCTTGATGTAGAGGTCGCGCATGGAGGCGAACTGCTCGGTGCCGGCCGTGTCCAGGATCTCCAGCACGGAGGGCGACGAGTCCACCTCGATCTCCTTGCGGTAGAAGTCCTCGATGGTGG